TCCTCCTCCTCCTCCTCCTCCTCCTCCTCCTCCTCCTCCTCATCCTCCTCCTCCTCCTCCCCCCCCCCTCCTGCTCCTCCCCTTCCTGCTCCTCCTCCTCCTGGACGTGGGGCCCTTGAGCTACGCACTCGCGGGGCCGAGGAGGGGTCCAGGGATCGTGGAGGATTCCAGGAGCCGAAGATGGGTCTACAGGCGTTAGCGCGGGTCCCCGGAGCCAGGGGTCCAACGCCCAGGGTTCAGAATCCATCAAAGGCGGACGAGAAGGAGGAGGACCAGGAGGAGGAGGAGGAAAAAGCCAGGGAGGAGACGAAGGCGAACGAGGACGAGGGCGCACACGAAAACACATGGCGAGGAGGAGGAAGCCGACAACGATGACTAGCAGGGGGGGAGTCTGGGCAGTTTTCTGTTGGGCCTCGGATTTCGTTCCCCACTCCTTGGGGTGGATTTACCGCTCCGGTTCGGTCTGTATCGGTCCGATTCGGCCCCATTCGGTCCACGAGCGATCTTGGTTCGGTTCGGTTTGGATTTTTACCGCGACCATTCCGGTTCGGTTCGATTCGTCTTGGAGGGGACGGTGGTTCGCGGCCGTTCGATTCAGTCTGGTCCAGTCCAGGCAGTTTTGGAACCTTCTTCATTGAAACACTCCGTCGGAGTTACGCCAGGAAGGAGGCAGCACAGTACGAGATTTCCAAGGCTCCAGGAGGGTCGGCCGTCAGGACCTTCTGGAGCGACGCTGTCGATGGCACTGTTTGCCGTGGCATCCTTTGGCGCCATGATGCCGTGACTAGAACCTAAGCGCGAGTAGCGCGCTCGTGGCTAGTATATATATATATATGTATATACACACATGTATATACACATATGCCCTGGGTCCAAGGCTGGGGGCCCTGAGGGCAAACCCTTGATCCCCATGCCGGTGGCAGGGCACCTTGGCCCCGTCAAGACGCGCCAGGAACGGCCCAAAGACCTTCGCGATGGCCCAAGAAGGATCCGACCGTTGAAGAGCACTCCTCAGAGCGCCCCAAAACGCCCAAATTGTTATGCCTTAGGGAAACGTGCACTTTTAGCATATACGGCTGTTCTGCAGTCGCGGCGTTGAAGACGGCCCATGGAGCCCCCAAGACCGCCCCAAGACAGCCCAAAAGTTTCCCAAGAACGCCCCAAGACAGCCCAGGAGAGCCCCAAGAGTCGCCCAAGAGTCGCCCAAGAGAGCCCAAAGACGGCCCCTAAAGTGGCCCGAGAGCGGGAACCCGAACCAACTAGTCGAGTTTTCCGCCCCAAGATGCTCCGATGAACCCCCCCCCAAAGGCCCCAAGAGAC